AGACTTCTAACAGAACTCAGTTCCTATCTCTAATAGATAAGTAAGAACAGAACTGGAATAAGTAAACTATTGGTGAGCTGGCAAGAAGAGCTGACGTGGCAAGATAAGCTGCTGTGTGGCCTCCCATTCATAGAATTTCAAGTACCCCACTCAAGGAGTACCATTGTACAGGTTATTACTTCTAATTACACAGAGATTGCACAAAAGAATTGCCTTCATGAATAAAAAAGACAATGTTACAAGCATGTGAAGTTATGAGTAAAGAAATCAAAGATGCTAACTTAAAAAATTCAAAAATAAGGAACCCAAAGATCTAATCATATTGAATGAAATTCCCAACTTTGTATATCTGTACATAAACCATGATGCAAATAACTATAAAAGCTGAAACATCAAGATTCACCATATAAAAAATCTTTTTAATGCAATAGAGTACTTATGTTGTAGCTCACCTCACACAAAATTGCTCCATTAACATACTTGCAGGGTAAATCATCAAGAATGTCTCCAGGCAGCTGCCCATGCTCAATTGCCTAAAGCAAATAAAATACATGGAAAATATATCAGATTAGAAAATCAAGTTGCAATGAACAATAGACATGCCTTCAAAAGACCCAGAAAACGATTTTAAAACAAACTAATGACTAGAAAATACTAGCATATATATTTACATTTGGAAAAATGAATTGAACCTATACCAAATATCATATGACCTTGTCCCAAATCTCAAACTGGTTGACAACGAGCTTTATCAAACCTCTACAACTTTGCTCTTACTTCTGCCATCCAATTTCATTGTACAGAACTTGGCAGATATACAAGTATTGTATCATGGCATATGCCATAATATTTAACCCAACAGATTATGGCATAGTTAAACTAGGGGTATAAAGGGATTTCAGTACAGTGACAGCTAAACGCCTATGTAGTTTTTGGAAGGGACTGGAGATGCTTATGTCTATTTTGTGCATCATTAAACACACTCACATGTATACACCCTTCTATACTTGACAACTTGACAATACAATATAATTATATTTCAGTTATCTTATAAAAAAATTGTACATATTAAATATTATAGGTTGTAAATCAAGAGAAAATCTGCAGTTGTTATAGTTGTTTATATTAATACAATAAAAATTATTAGATTTTCTATGGGAAAGCATTCTTCAAATGATTCAAGGTGACATCAACACCCTAGATGACAAAACTTAAAAAAAGAAAAAGTCATCTCTCACTTAGGTTGGCCTAGGTTTCTCTAGTTTCAAACCTGAGATCTAAGTATGGCATGCTAACAGAAGATGCAGCAAATTCCCATTGTGCAAAGCAGTATATTCTAAACCTATCAGCCAGGGTACCAAAATTTTTGTGACAAGTAACAGTATATTTTTTGTATTAAAAGGAGGGAAAGGCTCCCTCAACAGAAATCATCATCCCTGCAAAGTTCATAATCAAAATTGCATATTCATATCATGAGGAATATGATGAAAAAAACAATGCAAGTGCCAAGAATCAATTAATTCCAGAAACAAGTATATGTACTTACAGAGAATAGTGTCTCAGATGCCCTATCATAAGGATGCAACTGCTTTGCTACATCTTGGAACAATGGCAGGATCCCACCCTTTTAAATAAGCATAACTTCATAAGTATCATACCAGTAGTAAGAACAAAGTAATTACATTAATGGAAAACTTAAGACACTTTCATGTATCATGTTTACAAACCTGAGTAGGCCTCCCAACAGAAAATCCATCAGGCAATAAGTTTAGGGAAAATGAGACCTCAAGATCTGCCACAAAAGCAAACTTTGAGATATACTCTCTTATTGCATCACCACATCATTTCAGTAGTTGGCATCACCTTGAGAAACTGGGTTAAGCTCAGATTTAGCCAATGAATTTGAAAATTCAGCAAAATCATCACCTTCTCTAGAATCATCCTACATGCAAATAAACATTCTTTGTAAATGAGAGTAGTTGTTTACATATGCACGCATGTATATACTGTTTTGTGTTTACATCTACATGTATGTGTGTGTGTGTGTTTGAGAGAGAGAGAGAGAGAGTCACTCTTATTGAACTAAAAACTGAGGCTTGCAATTTAGAAATGTAAGATAACAAAGAACTCAAAGCATGAAACTTCATTTTACATCAGTAATAAACAAATGTTATTAGAAAGAAAGTAGGGCAGTGAAGAGTTGAGGGCTAAAAGAAAAAGAACCTAAAGCTAAAGAGACAACAGGTGCAGGTGGCATATTTGCTTTACGTGCTAATCTCCTGCCCCCAAAATTTTGGAATTTGAGGAATTTTTTTGATCTTTTTGGTGTAAGTAGTCTCCTACACATGACATGGAGAATCCTTTTAAGCAAAACTTTTTCTATTCAAACAAAAAAGGAAGATGTTATGAAGGTGCACTAGAGATGCCATACCTTGGTCAATTTGGGAAGAAAAGAGCACAAAAATCTTTAGGGAGGAGACCCATTGTAAAGAAGCTTGGATTGAGAGAGCCCAATCCTAAGCTGGCAACAATTCACATCCTCATCCTCAGCTAGAAGCATAACATTATGTAGCTACTAGCTAGCCTCCAGACTCTCAACTACATTGAAGTTCATAAAACTAAACTTTGATAGTGCAGTTTGGGAAACCCATGAATGTCAGGAGGGGGGGAGTATTTAGGAACCATGGGGGAGCAGTACTATCTACTCCAGTCCTATTGACCAAGGTAACTCAATAAAGGCAAAGCTAATTAAATTGCTTCATGAGCTAAAAATAGGGAGAACATTTAATAGGAGACTCATGGATTGCTGGATGTCTGAAGAATAACAGCCTGGGGTCATGGTGCTATAGGCACACCTCGAGCTAAGTAAAATGTCTAGCAAGGAAATTAAGAACTATTTTCACATGGATACAAAGGTCAGCAAATGGCATGGCAGATGCATAGAAGACAGGGGGTTAACAGGGATCAACTGTATTAGGGGTCTGCCCATAGTGAATCATAACAAAACATGTAATCAAAAAAACAGGGGCTCTGCTGGGGTAGGGAGATCGGATGCCCAATGTAATCTGTGAAGTGTTTGGCGTACACCTTGTATATATTTTTCTGTTCTTTTCCAAAAACCAATTAAGTTGTTCTTAGGATAATAAGACCACAACCAAGAACTAATCATACAACCTAGTGTCCCCAGTTGGCAATCAGAATCCCCAACCGCATCTCCTATCTAATCACCCATTCCATCTTGAGCAGCTCAACCAAATAATGAATTATGGCATTGGCATCTATGTACCCTGATTTGCCAAGGATATGGCATAGTTATGCACTTATGCTCTGAATATGATATTTACATAGGAAAATTGAAGTACCCAATAGCATTAAGAAACTTATTTTAAGTATATCAGTAACATAAAAGGGGGCCATTGATTTGTACAATGGTAAAATCTTGGATGATAAGCGTAAGAACTGAGAACACAGGTTTGAGTCTGAAAGTGGCAACTTCATGCAAAAGTGCCATAGGTTAGATCCTATTGGAGGTCAGGTCCTCATCCAATCCAACCCTCTCAAGATCCCAAATAACTGGAACCAACACTCGGCAATGGCCCCAGCAGGTAACATAAACTAGAAGACCTTGGTTACAAAATGGAATGAGCTGTTCAATCTGGACTCAAGTACACTAGCGTCTCTTGAAAGATGAATGAGATGGCAATGTCCCACCAGAACCACCCCTCAGTAAACCAGTGTATTATCTTCCACCATAACACTCTAGAAGCCAAAAGAAACAAGGCCACCAGAGAACCTTTTGGCCAACAAAGCACTACCTATGAATTATTGTTGACCATTATCAACTTTAAGACATAAAAAGCAAGTAACTTAAGCCTCGATGAGGGTCAGTTTGACAAATTCCCCTATAAGACCTGAAAATTATGACAAGAAACAAACTTTGCTCTTCCTGAATAGACCACCAACCGTAATGGAACCAAGATTATCCAGAAAGCAGCCATCAGGAGTTCAACTATATCCAAAGGAGACTCAGAACAGGAACTAACTCAGTCTAAAAGAGAACCAATCTGGAAACAATAAACCAATCAAGACTCCTCTGAAATCGTCCACCATAGTTAACCTATAAGCAACTCAAATGGTAATAAAGTCAACCAAGTCCTGAGTCAAGAGTCAAGCATAAGGATCATGGAAGAATCAAGATTCCTTCCCTCCCATATGATAGGATCAAGTGCTTACCACTATGCCAAAACCTATAGGTGATGGTGAGGGTGCAACTTTATTTCCTTATTGTGGAAGCATAGAACCCTGCGTCTCCCCACGTGCATTGCATGGCGTGCTACAGGTGGGCTTGAGGGGCTTCACAGTGCACACATGGCACCCTGGCGGTTTGGGCGGTTAAGCACCGTGAATCCTAAGGTGATGCTCAAGGTTCAAAGTACCGGAAACGTAAGGTGTATCGGAAAGAATTTAAATAGACATTTTAGGATACGCATGGATACACCAGGAAACTTGTATAAATCTTAAAAAATTTATTAACAACAATAAGAAAAGTTTTATATGGCCATAAATAAGTTATTTAAACATATAAACCCATACCTCAATGATTTATATAAAGTGTGAGATATAGGAACAAATTGGTAATTGTTGAAAATAATGGAAGTAAAATGTGTATTAATCTTCAGAAAATCAATATAATTTATATTAATATTTTATTACTATATAAATTTTTACAATCAATTTTAGTATTAATTAATAAACATCCATTAAGAAGAAAAATTTTGCTTAAGAATAAAAATGCACACAATTATAATGAACAATTAGAATATGGCATAATGGTTTGCTTATAGTTATTACAATCAAATTAACAGGGTTCAATTCTCCTTATCTTCTATTTGTACTTTTGTAGTTTTAAATAGGTTGGTATACTAGCAAGTCAACTTCAAATTCAAATATTGCTTTAATGGCAAGTAAAATTAAATTTGAATTTGAATATTGCCTTAAACATAATAATTAATTAAGAGACAAAACAAGTTATTAAGAGACAGGTAGTAATTTTAGGGGATTAGAAGTTATTTAGGGCAAGTTGTCTTAATTGTAGAAGTTATTAGAGAGACACACTAATTATTGGGGTTATTAATGAGAGATTTAATATAATCATAGATGCATCATGCATCAGCCAATACATTCAAAATATCGGTCCATGTTGATTGATACAGTCCCATATCAATCTGATACAGACGAAAATGAACAAAACTAATGGATTTGTAACATTCCACATATTGGGCTATCACTAGAGCGAAACACATCGGATTTGTAACATTCCACGTATTAGGCTATCACTGGAGCGAAACACATCAGCCAATATGAACTGATACGTTGCAATTTTTTAAAGATTGGTGAATGTTGACCCCAGCTAGGCCAACACCATATAGTTCACAAAATGCCACTAGGCCACAATTCTACTTCGCCTTTAACATATTTTCCAAACAAAGATATAGTCACATAGACCAACCCCAAGAAAAATCTTAAATATCCTTAGAATGGATATTGAGCATGGAAAAGATCCAAAAAGTTCTTTCATATCAAAAGAACCATGCTAGAGTGGAATAAAAGATGGTTTCTCAACTACCTACCTCCCAAACATAATAAGTATTCATATAAAGGAGAATCTAGACAATGAACCTGCAATCATGTAACAAGAATTTACCTTCTTGGGGATTACCTCCCATTCCATCCAGATATTTCACTAGAAGGAGAAGGGGCCTTTTATACAACCTCCATAGGAATGGAAGGAACAAAAAACTTTGTAGGTTCATATTACTACATAATGTCAAGGAAAAAGGAGGGGAAGAGAAAAGTTGGATTCAAGGAACCATGCCCTTCTTTCCACAACATAAGTTGAAGGATAAAGCTATTTCAAACAATAAGGGATATAACCTAGACAACTTTAGACCAATGTTTTAACATATAGAGGAATAAGGCATAGTTCAGATTCTTCAGAATGCAAGAGGCATAAGCCTCCTCAAGAGGAGGAAGGAGGCGAAGTTCTTGTTCTTCTTTCTTTTTATTAGGAAGAATGAGGAGCCCTCGACCTTTCCTTCCATTCCCTTCCTTTCCCTTTCCTTTTCTTTTCTTTTATTTTCTTTCTATCTGAGGTGTGCATGAAGCACATGAAGCATATACCTCATGCAAAACATGTTTGAGGTGTACGTCTCATGCACAGGTGTACTCCACATCAAAGGCATCAAAACCTCCAACATATGCCTTGGGACATTTGAGTTGCATCCAGGAGTATACCTCACACACCTTTAAGAAGATCCAAGCTCAAAATTATACTAAATGATAACAAAATGACAAATTTGAAAATTGGTTGTCCTATGAAATGAGAAACATAGAGAACCTACAATGAAAAGGATATTAAGCACATCAAATGTCCTCCCAAATAAGACATTGTTATCCACAATTACATTGTGTCTGATAAACCAACTGAAACAAGATAGGATACCAGTAATGGCTTTCCAATAACACAACACAAAGTAACTCTTTATTTGGATGAGAGCATGAAACATTAGCCTCAAGAACATAGTTATTATTACCTCTTAGTTGGGTAACACCCTACTAGTTGGGTGGGAGTCCTAAACATTAACTTGAAGACCATATTTCCTGCTAATTGTTAAACGCCAAAACTTGTGTCTCCTCTAGGTAATGGCCAAATGTTTTTTCCTCAATCCACAACCCCAAGGATTCTACATTTCATCCATTCATACAAATAATCCAACTTACAAGATGATCATTCCAATATCCCCCGGTTCCTAGTGAAAGCAAACCATAAAAGTACTAAAATCATTTGGCAACCTAAACAATAACCCTAAACATCACTATATAATCATTAATAAAAGAGAAAATTGAAAGGAATAGATTTTCAAGGTGTTATCTCAATGGCTT